CCCCCCCCCCCCCCCCCCCTTTAAATTAAAGTTGTTCATTCTCAAAGATCACAAAATACGCTAAAGTGGGATTTCAGTTGGTTTGAACAGCATAAACTTCCGCTGTTTATCTACATTAGAGGGCTGGCAGTCTGCCAAGATTCTGCTCTCAAAAAAAGCCAAGATTGCAATGCCCGTGTTATGAACTTTGAATAGTCCATTTAACCAAAATTCTGATACAAAAGATTAATAAGGGCTTGTTTAAGGATTTTTACTGCTTGTTCAGATATGAACATTTTAGTGTGAATGATCTGGGCACATCTTCACTTTCAGACTCCAATCCCTAGCACTGCTTGTGTGTATAAATGTACAGAGTGGAACAGACACCCATTAATTTTGTATTACTCTATGCTTTAGATGCAGCTACTCTTTAGACTGCTTAAAACATACAGACGAGCAACTGAAACAAAATATAGCTGAATAACAATAGTAACACCAAGCATTTTCTAGTGTATAAAAAATAAGACCCAAATGTACAGCATACAAAAAGCCAGACAAAAGATCAAGAACTTACAGCCAAACAAGTGACCACATCATTCTCATCATACTTCTCGCCAAAGTCTTCTGCGACACCATTAGAAGATTTGGATCCTTTCAAGGAATAGCCATAAGAATGTTCTTCTTCACCTAGGAGATAAAACAAAATCATACAAAGCTCCTCGAAGAACAGAGCAAAGACAGAGCAAGGCATGGAGAATCACCCTAAGTGAGAAAGTAGTCAAAGCTGAATGCTTTCTTGAAACCTTGAAAGCACCCTTGAGCTGCAGTTAAGGGACATTAAAATGAACACCTGAGCAGTAATTTCCCAAACAACTAATCGCAAGGGAGGAAGTGGAGAGAAACAGATGTAGCAGGTATTTTAGTTCACTCCTAATGGCCCAATGAAGCCAAGGAGAAGCACAGAGAATATCAAAGCATTTGGGCTGTAATAAAACGGATTGCTTAAACAGATCTTATTAGAAGTGATGGCTGTTACTTTAAAACTATCAATTGTTAAGCTGTAACATATCTAAATAACTGGTGCATCAGAAAGCGTTTACAGTATCACGGTTTTTCATACTGTTACTTGATCATCACATGCACAATCAAGGTTTTCCCACAAAAAAAAGTAATCATTCAAATTACTTGTTAAAAAAGAAAACTATCAATTGTTTAAGAGACTAAAAAGGTAGTAAATGAGAAGTTCCTTGTTAGGGCATACACTTAACCAGATTACATTAGGTCACCTTCCAAAGAATCTATATGAATATACAAGAGGAAACTTATGTTTGCAGCTACATATATCAAAGCTCAAGATTTACAGTGCTAACCTACCCAATACTGAACTACATGAACTTAGGGACCAACCAACACGGACTTCGTGAACATCAAGGTCTTTAGTAAACAGGTGCTTTACTGGAATCTTTTCTGTAACCTGAAAAAAAATAAAAAAAAATAAAATGGAGCAAATATAAAATGAATTGAGCCGAAAATAAAAGGCTTAACATGCATTTTGAATGCAGACAACCACCACTCACCTTCATTTCAAAGCAAACTTTCCCCTTGGAAACACCATATGTAGCCCTGCCTCCAGCCCACAAGAAAGCAAAACTCTCCATAGTGAGGGAAGAGGCACTTAAACGATCCCGTGAGATTTTGAAATGTAGGTCACAGTTATCTGGAGAGAGAAGTAAACAATTGTAGCGCATACAAGATTAGATTTACCATTTTCTTCCTTTACATTAAAAAACAATACATGATGTTCTTCAATGCATACATATAAAACCATCGTGCACAGGAAGAAAAGCCAATATAGAAAATGCAACTTACAAGTATCAAGAAGAACATTTGCGTCATCCACCTTTTCATCTTCCTCTTCCACTGGTGGTTGGGGCGATTTGGACCTTGAAACATAATATAAAAAGTTAAAATCCCAAAAGATACACGAGAACAAAACAGAGTTAGGAAATGGAAAGTCATGTGTTGTACAAACCTGCTGTATTTGTTTTCTTCAATGTACTCAAAATAGCCACGTCCATGATCCTCGCGTGGCCTTTTCACTCCTCTTTTCTTATCTTTTTCTTTCCCATCTAAAGTAAAAAGAAAGTACTTGTTAAAACACGCCTGCCAGAGGTGAGAGTTTTTACATGTGTTTGAGTATGGCAAGGAAAAAAAAAAGAAAAACCCACCAACTCGGCCAAGTACATTAGGCGTCCAGTATTAATGTGTACTAGGTTTTGTATGGAGAAAATGTAGCTGCACCAGTCTCAGAAACCCTCTGCCTCCCTTAGACATTACCCAAAGTCTAGGGCTGGCCATACACAGATCTATTGTTTTCCAACTTCCTGATGAAGCTTCGGCGAAATGCACAGAAGGCTGGACGCAGTACAGACTTGCAGTATATCTTACTCTGATGACTATTTATAAAATTATTTATTATAATGAAATTGATGTTAAAATAAGTTCATTGTATCCATCATGCATGTATCATGCACATGTACAGAGTCCATGGAGGTTTTATGCTGTTTGATCATGGATGCTAGTGGGTATATTTTTATCATGTGGATCATGTAATCTTTTAATAAATAAATGTTATTTTACTATGTAGTTTTGTCATTATTATGTTGTATTATCCCAAATTGCATTTTTGACGCCTTAAAAGCCCCATCTATTTTTTTCGTTCAACCCACAGGCTTAATGGGGGGGAGACCTGATTCCTCCTGCAACACTAACAGTGCGTCGATCGAGGAATCCCTGCCCTTTACATACAGCGGCTGTCAGAATACCCGACCAGAGCAGGCAGCTCATTGGCTGCTGGCTCCGACTGATGCTTTTCGGACTGGCTCATTCAATCAGTTGATCGAAAGGGTGCCGACAGCGCAACACTTTGCCAATTTCATCCGGTTCTTTTTTTTTTTTTAAAGCGGTAGAAATTCAAACAATGTATGGGCACCTTAAGGCCCCTTTCACACAGGCTGATCCTCTTCCAATCACAGCAGTACAAAGCGGATGTCACCGCTGTGACATCCGTGTCAATACAGTTTTTTCTTCCACTTTGCGATGGAGGAAAACACTGAAATTACTGGACCCCTGTGTGTCTATTGGGAATCGGATGTAAACTGACGCGTTTGTTTACATCAGATTACCCCTGATCCGACAAAACAGTCAACCCAGTCCACTCTCAGATCCGGCCGGAGGCAGAGGTAACTGGGTGTAAATGGATGCCTGTCCGTTTACACATACCTGCCAATAGACAGATGCATTGGGCATCCGATCGGGTCCACCTGAAAGACTGACAGGAGGACCCAAATCAGAGAAAAGTTAGAAAGTGAAAATCCACTAATAACTATATCTGACCTAAAGGATGGAAAGCTATGGGATTTAAGGTTTAATGTTTAAGTAATGGACTAAAGAAGCTAAATTCCAATTAAAATGGAAGAGAAATGTTCACCTGCATACACCTCTCATATCTTCTGTGATTTACTCCATTCTCAGTTCAATAATCAAATGAAACCCATCGCACACCTGACCGGATAATACCCTCGACTATCGGGTGGGTGCCAAGCGAAAACGGATGCCTCTGCAAATCAGTATAAATATGAAGAAAGTCACTTCCACTACAGCTCAAATTCAGTCAATATTTATTGACCTCTGTAGTGTCCCAGCATAGCGACGTTTCAGAACCACTTGATCCCACCCTCAGTCAAACAAAGTTGTTAGCCTGAGGAAGGGACCAAGTGGTTCTGAAACGTTGCTATGCTGGGACACTACAGAGGTCAATAAATATTGACTGAATTTGAGCTGGAGTGCAAATTACTTTCTTCACATTTACTCCCTCCTCAAACCCCACAGTCAGCCACTGCTGAGTCTGCGGATTAGGTTCCCACAGGTGTTCTTGTTTCTATAAACCGCCACTATCTCCTCTATGCCTGGTCAAACTCCATCCTCATTTTCCTGAATTTAACAAAGCTCTTTATATCGCCAACGGTAGTTGTAGATACGCATGTCCTACTGAACAACAGAAGCACAGCTTTAAATGGTGTGCTAATGTTCAAAAAGTGATCAAGTGGTCATGTATGTACATGGGGGCAGATATCAATGCTCACTGCACAAGCTTCGTGGTTGTACTTCACTGTTCCTCTCAGGGGAAGTCAGTCTGATCAGATCAACTACAATACAGTATCTGTTGTATTGTTATATTGGCAGACACACAGCCAATCTAGCAATCTGTATATGAACTACCACTGCAAATATATATATGGTAACCAAAAGGCATGCTAAAATAATAAAAGCAAGTAACCCACACCCCCAGGTGAATGAACTTCCCTGCAGTGCTGGAGTACAGCCATGCAGGACTTGCTGCTGCTTCCATGGGGAGGAGAGTACACAAAGGCCAAGTGATAGATCAGTTTCTACAAGGCCGAGCCAAATCATTTTCCTTTTTTTCTTCTAAAGTTTTATAGATAGCAGTTTATGGGGAGGGGGTGTAGGGGAAGACATTGCATGTTCAGGCAGTGTTGCATCTAGCTATTTCTGTAAGTTTTACAATAACCCAAAATTTGAAATAAAAAAAGAGATTGAATTTTAATCAGTGAATATAGTTTCATAGCATGGTGGCCAGATGAAAACAAAACCATGAACAAGCATTTCCACATGCCATTTGAGAACAAAACTAGTTCACCGAAAACATTTGATTTTTGTATAAAGGTCTAGGAACAGCTTTTTACTATGGAAATAGAATGGTTTTTGTATGCCAATGTGGAGAAATAGCAAACTGCAGAGCGGCATGAAAAACGAAAGTGGAGGATAGATTGTAAAGTGAAACTCACACACCAGGAAAGGATCTTCAGATCTCACTGGACTCTGCTGAAACACGGATCTTTACCCCTATGTATTACTGGGATTTTGAGCCTATAGTCAATAGCATTGGACCTTTCCATCAGCATCGTTATCCGTGTGTATTAGCTTTTTGATGCAAGCCTATATCCAGGATTACATTAGACTTATAGGCTACACTGTACTCTTCTAATGCTCAGAAAAATGAAGCAAAATATAACAATGGGGACACTCATGTACCCCGTATAGAGCATCTCAAAATGGAGCTGCAGAAGACCCCCGCCCCAAACAGACAATGAGCAGACAGGACATAATGGCCTCCTCTGTCCAAAAGAAAAGGGGTAGCAGGTGCGAACCCGGCCATCCGCTCATCACACCAATAGGCCGAGAAGACGCAGGCGGCCCGCCGGAAGTGACGTCACTAAATCCCAATCGCGCCTACACAATACCGCCTCGAGGGATACGTGACCTGCGGCCCTCACCGTTAGCCCCAAGAGTACATACACGACTGTATATGGCATCGCTAACCCTTCGGCAACTGTACGGAGCGCCATCACTGCAGCAACTGTAAAGCGCGCCTGTCTCGGATAGCGCTATCCAACACAAATCCACCTCTAAGTGTACGGAGAGCATGCCATAGCCAGCGCTATAACCGCAGCGACCGTACAGAGCTCCGGCACGACCAGCACTATTTCCGCAGCCACTGTGCTGAGCTCCGGCCATAGGTAGTGCTATACCCGCAGTGACGGCCATTAGCAGCACAATCCGGCAGCTATTGCTCTTGGGCAGCGCTACTCCCGATCCGCCTTTCAGAGCGGGCCGCTGCCCTGCCGCACCCATCCCCCACACACACACCATTTGAGCCACACTTACCGCCTCGGCCTGCTGCCCCTGCCTCGTCCACCTTGATGGCCATGAGAGGCCGGGGCCCGCTGGGCACACTATCTGTCTCCGGTTTGGCTTCTTCTTTGTTGCGGTTATTATCGCTGGCACCTTCTTCGTCATCCTCTTCCTCCAGGCCCACGGGAATCCCCTCATCCTCATCATCCTCCTCGCCCTCCTGAAAGCCCTGATCGTCTCCGTTCTCGTCATCCGGGGGGGCGGCCTCGGCCTCCTCCTCGTCGCCACCATTCTCCCCGCCAACCTCCATGGCTTCCTCATCCTCCTCTTCTTCCTCCTCCGCAGTGCTCGGCTCCATGTCTGCTCCTTCCGCGGCCTCGGCCCCTTCGTCTGAGACCGCACCGCCGACCACTCCGCCTCCGGCCTCTAACTCCTCATCCAAGGCGGTCTGCAGCCTCTCCATGAGATCGGCCTTCAGCCCCTTATCGCTCAGCCTCCTCTTCTTCAGCTCCTCTTTGAGCTCCGACACTTTCAGCTTCTTCACGTTCACGGGGGAACTCATGTTGTTAGGGGGGGGAAGCCCGAGAAGATTTTATATAGAATCCGAATGCAGAGACGTTCTGCGCTGCTCCTTCAAAATGGCGGAGCAAACAAGGACGGAGCGCGATGCCCTCTGGGGGAGGAAAGCAGAGAATGAGCTCTAGACTGGAGAGACACCCAACGTCCTACCCTCTCCCGCCCCCTACAGGGGATGGCCTTAGCATCGGGTGCCCCTCCCATGGAAACCACCACCCCTTCTATTCACCCTGCTTCAACGCCAGGCCTGCATAGCAAGGAGTACCCTCCCATAGACCCGCTGCTTACCGCTTTATTGGCGCTCATACACTAGCACAATGCCACAAACCGATATCTACATAAAGCGGGAAGCCTCATACGTCTAAAATGGCGATGCGTCTTACAGAACGTTCCTTTTAGCGATTTTTACGCTGCGCCATCCCCCCAAGAAAAACACCCTGCAGCCACACTTACAGGGAGCCGTGACGAAGAGGTGGGCGGGGCGGCGATCAACCGTCACAGCCAGCCACTCCTAAGGCAAGAGCGGGCTCTGCTCCCATGGGACCGCCCCCTTCCACTACCGTATTCACTCCAGCAAAGGGGAACATGGCATATGGTTATAGAACAGGGGATACTATGCCAATAATGTGGTCGTAAATATTGTATGATACGAGAACACCGTTCCAAGTGCAAATAACAATGGTTTAAAGCTGTGGGGAGACAACATTGTTTTCCTATTCTATAGATTAGAGTGTTGGTGTAGAAATCAGTAAAATCTAGAACTTGAATAATAGTACTTCCACTTGAATAATAGTATACACTGATCAGCATTCACACTATGACCACTTCTTCCACTTGAATAATAGTATACACTGATCAGCCTTCACACTATGACCACTGAATAACATTGATTACCCTGTTACAATGGCAACTGGAAGTCAGCAAGTGAACATTTTGTCACTTAAAGTTGATGTTTTTGGAGGAGAAAAATGTGCAAACGTAAAGCCTGTGACACATTGCGCACACCTTCGCGTGCAGTGTGTCATGTCATTCACTCCGGCACTCTGGCTCACATAGCTGAGCATGCCGAGATGAAAAACTTCATCTTCAGCCAATCGACTTGCGTGTATAAACCCGTGCATCAGGGATGCAAAGTCCATTCGATTGTTACGTGCAAGCTGATTGGCTGAAGGTGAAGTCTTTCATCTGGCCGCGCTCAGCTCACACTCTGCATGCGAGCGTTCATGCCTGATAGCTTTGCCCCACATGGCTTCGCTTGCATTATAATAATCGATCTGGTGTGCTGGTGACATTTTCTTGACTATCTGCATATTGGCGGCGCCATCCACAGTCATTTCAAGCACCCGCTTGCTTATCCATATGGGAATCCCTGTAAGGAGTGCAGCAGGGATTAATTAGTTATTTGCATGCACCTTACAGGCTTAAGGACTTGAGTGACTTTGACAAGGGCCAAATTGTGATGACTGGGTCAAAGCAACTCCAAAATTGCAGCTCTTGTGGGATGTTCCTGGTCTGCTGTGGTCAGGACCCACCAAAAGAGGTGCAAGTAAGGAAAACCAGTGAATCGGTGACATGGGGAGTAAAGTCTGGCCCCTGTAGTGTGATCTAATAGAAGCCAATTCCAGAGAACAGTAGGTCCCCCTGCACTCCTTAGAGCGCTCCCGGTCCATGTGGCAATAGTGGTGCTCGCAGTGACAATCACGGATGGCCCCGTGAACAACAGTCAATGAATGATAGAAATCACCAGCACTCCATAAATTAAATTTAAAAAAAAGTCAATTTATTTGGACTAAACGTCACACATATCGCATAATCCAACTTTTTTCGGGACCACGCAGGGTCCCTTAATCAGGGCAGAGATGTGTCATCTCTGCCCATCTGTCATCTCTGCCCTGATGATGGGACCCTGCGTGGTCCCGAAACGTTGGATTATGCGATATCCAAATTGCTGAAAAAAATAATGCTGGTACTGATAGAAAGGTGTCTGAACACCCAGAGCATCGCAATTTGTTGCTTATGAAGCAGCATAGCTGCAGACTGGTCAGGGTGGCCATGCTGACCCATGTCTACCTCCAAAAGGGCCTATAATGGGCATATGAGCATCAGAACTGGACTTGGGGCAGTGAATGAAGGTGGCCTGGTCTGAGGAATCACGTTTTCTTTTACATCATGTAGATGGCCGGGTGCATGTGTGTTGCTTACCTGGGGAAGAGATGGCACCAGGATGCACTATGGGAAGAAGGCAAGCCAGTGGAGGCAGTGTGATGCTTTGGGCAATGTTCTACTGGGAAACCTTGGGTGCTGCCATTCATGTGGATATTACTTTGACACTTATCAAAACATTGTAGCTGACCAAGTACACCCCTTCATGGGAACGTTTTTTTCCTGATGGCAGTGGCCTCTTTCATCAGGATAATGCATCCTGCCACACTGCAAACATTGTTTGAGGAACACATCAATGAGTTTGAGGTGTTGACTTGGCCTCCAGATCTCAGTCTAATCGAGCATCTGTGGGATGTGCTGCAAAAACAAGTCTGATCCATGGAGGGCCCACCTTAAAACTTGCAGGACCTAAAGGATCTGCTACTGACAGCTTGGTGCCGGATAGCACAGCATACCTTCAGAGGTCTAGTGGGGTTCATTCCTCATGGGTCAGGGCTGTTTTGATGGCAAAAGGGGGACCTACTTAATATTAGACAGGTGGGCATAAAGTTATGGCTGATCGTTAGACCATCCTTTCTCCTAAATTGTCCCTCTTTTTGGTCTAATGTACACATATCTATAAAAATGTACTATTTAGCTACAAAATGGGTTATTCTGCGCTAAAACCTGAATCTTATGTTTTAATTATCTTTTTTATTGTTTTGAAAAGCCAAAATAAAGGAAAAGTCACAATGGAAAAAAACTATTCTGGGTTTAACCCATCATTTTTGGCCTATACATTTGAAATTATCTGCATAACTGGAGGTGTAACATAGGTTTGTCCATTGCCTCTATATAATTGTGGATGAGACAGGGATGTGTTCATTGCCTATATAAAATTGTGGGTGAGACAGGGGTGTGTCCTTTGCCTATATATAATTGTGGGTGAGACAGGGGTGTGTCCATTGCCTATATAAAATTGTGGGTGAGACAGGGGTGTGTCCTTTGCCTATATATAATTGTGGGTGAGGAAGTGGTGTGTCCATTGCCTATATATAACTGTGGGTGAGGCAGTCGTGTGTCCATTGCCTATATATAATTGTGGGTGAGGCAGGGGTGTGTCCTTTGCCTATATATAATTGTGGGTGAGGCAGGGGTGTGTCCATTGCCTATATATAATTGTGGGTGAGGCAAGGGTTTGTCCATTGCCTATATATAATTGTGGGTGAGGCAGGGGTGTGTCCTTTGCCTATATATAATTGTGGGTGAGGCAGGGGTGTGTCCATTGCCTATATATAATTTTGGGTGAGGCAGGGGTGTGTCCATTGCCTAGATATAATTGTGGGTGAGGCAGTGGTGTGTCCATAGCCTAGATATAATTGTGGGTGAGTCCATTGCCTATACATAATTGAGGGTGAGGCAGGGGTGTGTCCATTGCCTATATATAACTGAGGGTGTGTCCAATGCTTATAAATAACTGAGGGGTGTATCCTTTGCCTGTATATTACTGGGACTTTGGCAGGGGAGGGGTGTGTCCATTGCCTATATATAACTGAAGGTGTGGAAGGGGAGTGTCCATTGCCTATATATAACTGAGGGTGTGGCAGGGGAGTGTCCATTCCCAAAGCGCCCCAGGCTGCTAAGAGCTCTTAGTAACCTGTGATGCACTGTCTGCTTTGTCCGGCTTGCCGCCCAGCTCATGGATGTGATCGGCTGCCAGAGAGCTGAGCAGGGCACTCTGGCTGGCAAGGGATGGCCCTGTGTATATGTATTACTTTGTATTACTTTGCTATCTTATTACCAAGTAAACAAACCCATAGCAGAAATGTAAAAATTCCTCTGGTCCATAGGGGGTATACCGTTGTTAGAGTTGTAGTGCTTACATTTTTTTGGCCTCGTAAAATAATGATTCACTTTTCCAGGATAAAGGGAACAATAACACCTCCAAACTCCTAGAACGCCTCATCTACAGCTGCTTAAGTCGCCACCTCGCTGATCACAATCTTCTCGACCCCTTACAATTTGGCTTTTGCCCCTACACTCCACTGAAACCACCCTCCTAAAACTCACTAATGACCTACTCACTGCTAAAAACAATGGCCACTATTCCCTACTCTTGCCATTAGACCTTTCTGCTGCTTTTGACACTGTTGACCACCTGCTCCTCCTCAAAAAACCTCAGTCACTTGGTCTACAAGACTCTGCTCTCTTGTGGTTCTCCTCCTACCTATCTAAGCACTCCTTTAGCGTCACCTACAAATCTAACTCCTCCCCTCCTCTTCCTCTTTCTGTAGGGGTCCCCTAAGGCTCTGTCCTTGGACCCCTCCTCTTCTCCATCTACACCTCCTCCCTTGATCAGTTAATAACCTCACATGGCTTCCAATACCATCTCTATGCTGATGACACTCAAATCTATCTTTCTACTCCACAACTCACCCCCTCTGTGTCCTCTCATGTCACTAATCTACTAACTGACATATCCGTCTGGATGTCACAACACTTCTTAAAACTCAATCTTTCAAAAACTGAGCTCTTGATATTTCCTCCTGTCCGTGCACCTTCCCCCAACTTTTCCCTTGAGATCGTTAACACAACTATCCACCCCTCCTCCCATGCTAAGGTCCTAGGTGTCATCCTTGACTCGGACCTCACCTTTCTTCCCCACATCCAATCACTATCCAAATCCTGCCGCCTTCACCTTTGTAACATCTCAAAAATACGCCCCTTCCTCACCTTAGAAACTGCAAAACTACTCATACACTCCCTCGTTATATCTCGTCTTGACTATTGCAACTCCCTCCTCATTGGCCTTCCACTACACAGGCTATCCCCCCTTCAGTCTATCATGAATGCAGCTGCCAGACTCATCCACCTAACCAACCGCTCAGTGTCTGCAACCCTCCTCCGTCAATCCCTGCACTGGCTTCCACTCGCTCAAAGGATAAAATTCAAAATATTAACAATCAGTTACAAAGCCATCCACAACTCCGCCCCCAGCTATATCTCAAACCTGGTCTCAAAGTATCACCCTAACTGTCGGCTACGCTCATCCCAAGACCTCCTGCTTTCCAGCTCCGATGTCAACCCCTTCCATGCTCACCTCCAGGACTTCTCTAGAGTCTCTCCCATCCTCTGGAATTCTTTACCCCAACCTGTCCATCTGTCACCCACCTTGACTGCCTTTAGGCGTTCCCTAAAGACTCCTCTCTTCAGGGAAGCCTATCCCACCTCAACCAAACGGCTCAACCATCACGTTCTCAAACAATTCATCCCCACAAAGCTACCTCCTCATGTATCACTTCCCCCTCCCTTTTAGATTGTAAGCCCTCATGAGCAGGGCCCTC